AAAAAAAGACATGCTATAAAAATAGCTTTTTTGAGTTACATCCAAATTTACATATGCATGACTAACACTTGTTCATAAGGATATTATTTAACACTTCAGAATATTATGGAGCATCGCATTCTAAGATAATTATTCTAGGACTGACAGAATATTATCATTCAATGAACATTACTTGCAGATTTAAGCTAGATTTGTGACACAACAGTATTTGACCACATATGAAGTGTTTTGTTCCACTCAAGGCACCTTAGCACTGTACTCAAGAATCCTCACGGCAACATTGTTTTGTATTTGTATTTGTTTTGACTCAGATCACATCAGTAGAAAACATCACCATTTTGTACAACACCTCTCTCAACACATTTACACATTTATTAAAAATCAGCACATTCTTGCAAAATAACATCAACAAATACAACTACGCTCACCTGTCTCCACTGTAAAAAAAAAATACCTTGTAGCTTATCAACTAAAAGTACATAATGGACAAAGAACTATCTTAGAAATACACAATTAGCATGGGAAAAAGCATCCACCTGTAATGCAAGTATTTTTAAAATTCTGTATTTTAGAATACATACTTACTGAATCACTAACCTCAAATTTTACTTTTCGGTATCAGATCTTACAGCAGAGAAAATACAGTAATAAAGGTGGCCAGTTCACTGTTTATGAAACAGTATGAACAGTTTTGGCTGCTTTTTCATTCCTTTCTATCCTTTATCAGTAACTCAGCAAATCCAGAGCAACACCTCAACAATTCAACCCTTTGGATGCCAGTGTTGGCATGCTGTTCTCACTTAAAAGGGGCCACTACGATCCCCATAAAGTCAAAGTAGTATTTTAAACATGTTTGCAAAAAATATTAAGCTCTAATGATTTAGATAGTAAACTACACATAGAATTCACAAATGACTGCATGAAATTCTCTTCTTAAAGAAAGTGTGTAAGGAAAAAAAAAAGCTAGATTTGGAAGTAAACATGATTAGTCCATGCCAAAAGGAAGAAATGTCATCCTTACCTTTCCTCAATATTAAACTTAGATCTGTACGATCTGAAATAGATGGAGACTGACTTTCTACATGACCTGACAGTAAGAGGGCAAGAGGGAACAGTTGTAAACAAAAAGAAAGGAGATGAAATCATCTCAGTCAGAGGAAAATTCTTTACCCAGGGGGCAGTGAGGCCCTGGCACTGCTGCTCAGAAAGCTGTGGGTGCCCCATCCCCCAGAGGTGCCCAAAGCCAGGCTAGATAGGCCCTGGGCAGCCTGAGCTGGTGGGGGGCAGGCAGTCCATGCAGGAGGTGGAGCTGCTCATGCAAGTTCTAGAGCTTTTTCCAGTATTTAGTATTTATTTTATGTATTTAGGTGTCAGAAGTTCATATAGTTAACCTAGATTAAAGAACTGAAGTAAAATTCACAACACTAGCAATTAGCACAGTAACTGCCAGCACAGGGCAAAGCAAATCACAGATTTATATATATATATATCTATATATATATATATCTCTCTCTCCATAGTGCAAAAATAAACTTTAAAGAAGATTCTGTATTTCAAACGGAGAGTTGCAAAGAACACAAACTTCAGTGTAACAGCGGTCAGATACATACAATAAATACTTGTCCATACTGAACGTTTGTGCTGTTTGTGTCTCAGAACACATTCTGAATTCATCAGTTTAAATACATCCTGAATTACAAGCCATTTTCTTAACAGTGCTAAAATAATGATAAGCTTCTGAAAGCTGAATCACCCTTAATTATTTATACTAGCTATAACCAAAGCATTAATCAAGAAGTTTTCAAACACCACAAAAAAAACCACAGAACACTTGATTAGGCCCCAACAAGTAACTTTTCCCAGACAACAGCTAAAAACAAAAGCAACTTTCTGTAATAAGTACCCATACTACAAATCTTAGCAAACATGGTAAAGCAGATAAGCTGAAGTTAACACAACACAAACTTGTAGGCACAGAATTTTTTTGTTTCAGTGAGAAATTAGCAAGATCTTTTCACACCATCTGACCTTAGATTACAGTCCTGGAAGCAGCCCTTCTGGGATACTCCTGGGTTATGTGCAGGCAGACACTGCCTGTTCTACCTGCACTGAGTCAGGCTGCACTTCACTCTGCTGTACAGGGATCTTCGCTGGCTTGCAGTTTTGCTAACACACACACGTCTCTGCAAAGCAACAGCACCCCACACTTCTCAGAAATTCTGTGTTTATTCTTAGAGCCTCTTAACTCATAATTTATTTCCTTTTCTTTCTGCTAAGCTATGCAGCTCCTCCATTTCCTGAATAAACTGAGGGTTTACAATGTTAAGCGTAACGTGCTCCAATGAATACAAGTCATATTGCACTAATAGCAGTTATCAGGGCAAACACACTGGCATTTCCAGAAACAATTTCATGCAATATCTAACGGAAAGTTAGCAGCATACCTGAAGGCTAAAAGTTGAGGCTAGTTTAGGTTAAAAGGCAAAATATTTCCCATGTAAGAAACACAGACCAAAAACCACTTAGGCAGTTCCCCCTCTCCCTTCTCATTAGTTCAAGAGATCCGCTGACCCCAGCTCGAGTCCTACAGCACAGAAGAAAGCAGCCATACTTCAGCATTACCGCAGGCCACTGAGAGCCTACCAGCCACAAGCTCCCACAGAGCTAACACAATTTTGCACACACAGAGTCAGTTCCATTCTGTAAGTTGTGTTTTTAATACGACCTTATATGAAGTACCTCACACGACACCCTACCCAGTATTTATGAATGGAACACACATCTCTTGGCCTACTACATGTAGAAGGAAGGTTTCCCAGCACTGTGGCTACAGAAATACAACTCCCTTAAGAGTTTTAACCAGCTTCCAAAACAACTAACCCAAAGCAATACTGTGTTCATTCCAATCCTTTACTCAAGTCAAACTTGCCTTAATCCTCTTGGCCTTTTTAAATTACAGCCTGGCCAGTAGGCTTTCACTGCTGTCCAGGCAGGAAACACATGCAAAAAACTCAAACACAGAACAAGAAAGTTTAGGAAGTCCAATAGCCACAAGCAGGCACACGTACTGGGAGCAGCAACTACACAGGTACCTGGCTACTATCCATGAGACTGGACATAACCTTACTAGAAACGCAGTAATTATTATCCATCACTAGATCACCAATGGTACTAGTGTTTCATAACAAAGTTTGACTTTCAACAGCCTGGGGACACACATACAGCACCATGAGACATCCTACAGAGCTAAGTTCAGCATCTTTTATTTCCTGTCACCTGGAAGTAGGTGAAAGGAATCACAGCTTGAAAGTCAAAGCACGTGCACAATATATTGCTATTGACATGTAGGTACATTGCTTCAAAAGCATTAACACACCTCACACAGATAAAGATTTTTTTTTTTTTTTTTTTTAATTCTTGTACTCGGATCAGGCTCTCTTCTGCCATTTGTTGGTCTATTTCAACTCCAATATCTTCCAAAAAATTTCTGTACATTCACCCCATCCTCTGGGGACTGACTACCTTTCCCCCCCTCTCATCCACACTCACTTTTCTCATTCCATCTCAATATCCATTCTGCTTCCAGTTGAATACTCAGTCCAGTCTCACTGACCTGACAGCCCCAGACACTACCAGAAACACACTATTTACAACTGGACAGAATGGAGGTTCTAAGAACAAGTCATGAGTATTTTCCTCTGCAAGTGATTCTCTGAACAAAGGAGAACGCCTGTCAACAAGGTTGTGATCAAACCTTTTTCAAAAAATGCTGCTTTTATTTGGTGTAATTTGCTTATGCCTCACCCCAGATTGTGATGGCTAACTGTATGTGCGTGAACTTGCCCTGTCAGTTTAAGACATACAACATACCTTTCAGTAATCTGTGGTGTTACATATTCTTATTTAGACATTCAATAAAAGAGATTGAAATTTACGGATTAAACTGCATTTAAATCTTGAAGCCTTTTATACAGATTTTCACGCTAGCAAGATGAACAGTATTTCGTATTCTTTTCATAAAAGCAGTATCCATGGGATAAGACGAATGCTGCAGCCTAATTTTATCTACATGAAGAGCAGTACAGTTCATGTAAGCGGGGAAACTGGGTTCCTTATTGTCAAGGAGCACTAATGCATTATATCAAGAGGAAAATTACTAAGGAAAAAAAAGTCTTATCCCCTGACATTTTCACATTATCTACCACTGGTCTGCCTAACATTTCAGTGATGTATTGGCGTTTCACTGCCAACTTTGAAGACAGGAAAGTAGTATGCACTGCATTCCAAAAATGCCTTTTTTGAAATAAACCTTTAGAGCAGATCAGTTTCTTGTAACCTACAGATCAGTGCATCCGAGCACATCTGGAAAACTGCACCTTAAATCCACAAGGTACCGTAAGCACAACACACTGACATGCTAACAGCACAGACAGTAGCTAAAACAATAAATACCACATTAGTGAGAGAAGATGCATCAATTATTATTGTTTTTCCATCACAGGCAGCAGTAAATATAATTCTGTATGATCACAAAGCCCTAAAATTGACAAAAGAAAAAAATGATGTCACCAGAAAGACACAACTCTGTCTAGTTCATGCTCAGGAAATCCGACCAACCAGCAGGGATAGACCTGGCCTTCTCTCAGTGCCAAGATCTTTGTTTGCACAAAGTAGAGTTTGAGCACGTCTCATTGAGGACACAAAATTGATGTTTTACCAAAGAAAAAAAAAAAAAAAAGACCAAATATTTCTCTTTTATGTGAGATGGGTGAATTTACTTACACATAAACACTTTTGGGCTGAAAAGGCTCAGGTATTTCCTAAAGTGACTGCCAAGACGGCAACAGCCTGGAAGCCTGTTTGCATATGCAAGTATGTGCAAGTTTGCATATGCTAATATTTAATAGATAATATGTTTTTCATTTAAAGTGTCAGAGTAAAAATGCTTCAATCTCACACTCAATCCCTCACAAGAGTCACTTTGGTTTAGAAAGACATACCTTTTAAAGCTGGCAGTTTTTGAAGCTCCCTGTTATTGCTGACATTAAACCTTGATGAACTCTGACGCTTTTCCTTTTTCAGTACTGTCTGGGGTGCTGGTACTTTGATTTTAGATAACTGTGCTGGGGGAGGAGCGCTGTTTGATTTTTTGTTTGACACCTGTTTAAAAAGAAATGAAAACAGTTAACTGTAGTTGGACTTGGAGCATCTTTTACGTTGTCTTTACTGAAATAACATAAATAGAATGTTTTGACTGAAAGGTTATTTTGTCATCCCCTGCATGTATAATTACTTTGTTCCCTATGTGTATTATTTCTATACCATAACATTCACATAGATGGAAATTAATCATTCTGTTACATGCATCCACCCATTTATTCAGTTACCTGCCAACAAAAAAAATGTTATAACATAGCTCCTCAGCTGCTCCCACCATCTGTGTGAGGAGTCCAGGTCTTCAAGGTACTCGGCTATCTGATTTGAGCTTCAAAAGAATCAGGACCCTGTCTATTTACATCAGCTGAACTTCACTCTGCCTATTTGTATTGTGCCTTGCAGTCAGAGTCATACACTGGCCAGGGTATTCAGACTTTGACAGAAGTTTAGAAAATAAAAAGGATGAATCTTATTATTGTAGCAAATAGAGTTAGGAAACTTCAGCAGCTTCTAAAACATACATATAGCAGTTTGCTGCCTATTCAGAGCAAGTGGCTTTTACTATAATATTCCTTACCATAAAGTCACTGTACCTCTGTATGAATTAAATAACAGAATGAGAAGAATGGACCTTTTTGCTCCATTTCCCAGAACATATTTGATAGTGCTCTCACTCAAACTAAATAAAATGCATCACTAACAAAAGCCTGTTGAAATTGAAAATTGAAATTGAAACTTGAAATGAGAAAAGCAACACTACCTTTTTTCTTTTAAGTAGGAAAAGCAGGTTTAAAGTAGGCAATAGTTGACTGTTTCTAAACATGAAAAACTTCACAAGGCACTTTACAAGGACGATAATACATCCAGATACATAATACTTCTAGAAACAGACTACAACAGGAATGTAACAACAGCTAAGTGAGAAACCTTACTGCAGGTACTGTAGTTTGGTGGTTTTTAGTTTTGCTGTTTAGACAAAACCAGGATCTTAAATTGATGTAGAAACTTTTCAAATTCTCAAGCTATTTTACATTGCAGCAAACTACTGAAAAGACACCTTAGCTTACTGAAAAGACACTCTCTCTTACAAGAAGAGAACACAGTCTCCTTTTCAATAAATGCCTATATGATAAGTAAAAGAAAAAAAAATTGGACAGGAATGGGATTCAGGATGGAAATCAGGTCATAATGCTGCTATTTCAGCATTTCAATGGATTTAGATATAACAGATACAAAAGCTGTGTTTCAGTTACCAGACACTTTCATAGAGATGTATCTAAAACAACAAATCTCATATTCTGAAGAGGATTTCCAGAATAGCTTATTCATTAGCCATTTCCATACAGTTCGTGAGTGAACACGTTCAGTGCATGTAGAAATGTTACCTTACCATACATCACCATTCACAGAGTCTAAAGGTAGACAAATTGAAGACTGTCGTTTTATGCAAACCTTTATCTGGAAGCAAATACTCTGTAACCGGCAGAGAAACGTCTGTATTTCAACAATACAGTACTGTACGTAACAGAACTGTTCATGCGTTGGAAATGACTGAAAGCAACATTTAGATGTTTAATGAGAACTAAGATACCCATTCTGCAAGTTTTTAAAGTTAAAAGAGCAAAAATACAGAACAAATAAGGGAAAAGAGGCAGTACATTGATAACCACACGTTATCAAAAATATATTCTAGACTTCCAGTAAAAATGGTGCAAGTTTGTAAGTTAAAGGCATTTACATACAAATGACATTTCCCTGCATTATATATATTTTTTTCCACTATTTCTCTAAAACACTAACTGCTGAAAAATCTTTTTTGCTCAAATACAAACAATCCGCGAGGTAAATTCTACCCCTTAACTCAAATTAAGAAAAAAGTGTTCTAAATTATCAAGTGACAAAGCAGATGGAAAAGTAGCATTAAAAATTAGGAAGCGATGATTTGCCATGCATTATGCAATTAAAGCTAATTATACTTTCAACCTATTATAAGCAATATTACTATACAAGATTCTACACTTTTAATGTTATGCTTGATCTTAATGCTGTTTTCTGAACAGGCTATCCTCCATTACCACCTGTTTTTTTGTTCATTACTTAAAACAGGAAAAGTCACTTTCCTGCTTCCTCTATTCCCAAGCAAATTCTTAACTGTGAATTAACAAGTACTCACTTGTGCCTTTACACACACACACACTATGGTAAATTAAGGTAGCTCACTCACCAGGAAACCATGTATTCTGAATTGCAGATAAATTCTAAAATTAGCCAGAAGTAGTTATTTAAAAGGATGGGCAACATTTCTAAATAGAGGCATTGAAAGAAAGCATTTTTTGTTCCTATGGCAACTTCCAGTCTTGCAGTGATGGTTCCACGTAATTCCAGCCGTGAATCACCAGCCCTTCTTTCCACCATCAGCCCCAACCATCCCTGAATTTCAGCTGTGTTCCAACTGTTCAGCCATCACACATCAGAGAACTGCCGGAGCAGCTTACAGCTCTTGGTTATGTGAAAGCTATGCTATGCAGCAATGACTGACAACTTCTGCAAGTGGCACTACAGCTCTCTAAAGACTGTGCTCACCTCCAAAACTGGCACATAACCAGCCCTTGCATAGAAGGGCATCTGAAGAAATTATGTCATTTTAGGCAGCACATCTCAGTCATCCCACCTTTTATTTTCTGCATTAGGCAGCTGCAAGCCTAATGAGAACAACTCAGACTACTTTACTTTTTAAAAAGATACAGTGCTCCTTAGTTCTGAGTGAAGACCTGTGCTCAGCTTCCTCCCCCAGTAACCAAACTATTTCAGAAAACCACAATTCCTGAGGAAAGCTGACAGATGTTTGGCTACGAAGAACAATTATTTGATAGTAGAACAGTCAAATTACAGATACACTTTTATCAATACTTTCAGTAATTAGAATGGGAAATACCTGTTCTTACCCTCGTTCTGAAAAACTGCTCCCTCCTACCCAAGTGTTTATATAGTCACATTCAATTCAAAGTGGCTGATAAACCTAAAAATGTGTACAAATTACTCTGAAAAATCATCATACTGAGAAAGTGTTTATGTAGATCATAATTTAAAAACAACCTCCAGATTTTCTGATCATCTTCACTTTTAAAGCTGCAGCTTCACTTACTTTGACGAATATTAAGACTATCATGACAAGTGTAATTCTGACTTCTAACTCCTGCTTGTAATAATTGAGAAAACAGAGCTTATGCTCCTCGGTTCCCATGAATAGGCTTGACATGAATTCAAGAAAGGAAGAAGTTACTTGTCAGTAACAAAAGCTCAAGATGTAGTCCTTGCATCCCTCCCTCCCTTGTGTCACAAAACAGCCAAGGTCAGCAGGGTCCCTGGGGTCCACCTACTCCAGCTCCTGCTCAAGCAGGGACACCCAGAGCAGGGTGCACAGACACATCCAGGCAGATCTTGAAGAGATTCCACAGCCTCTCTGGTGGCCTGTGCCAGTACCTCATTATCCACACAGCACAGAAGTGCTGCTTGATGGTCAGATGGGTCCTCCTGTGGCTCAGTTTGTGCACACTCCTCTTACCTTGGCACCAGGCAACACAGAAAAGAGCCTGGGCCTGTCCCCTTCGCACCACCCTTGTCCATGTTTTAAAATACATTTATGAGACCCCACCTCCCCAGCCTTCTCTTCTCCAGACTGAGCAATCCCGGCACTCTCAGCCTTCCCTCATAGGAGAAGTTCTCCAGTCTTTGCAAAGATATTGAACAACTGTCAGGCAGAAGTCCTCATGTATGAAGAATGAAGTACATTAGTGTTTTAACAACACTGCTTTGAACACAGTTTGATTCCTTGAGCACCTGACGCAGGTGCATACTGACCAAAGCAAAACACTACATTTGTGATCAGATGAAAAGGACAAAGCACATCTCCAGTTACAGCCAGCTTTTAAATTAATTGATCATCACCCACCAGCCCACATGGTAACTTCAGACAGTCACCTAAGAGAAGAGAGCTGGAGAGAACTGGGAGCAGAAACAAGGGTGCACCCGTGTCCCATTTCAACAAGTCTCTCCAGAAGACTCAAGACATCTTCCCTCACTGACAGTCCCTCAAACCACCAATACTCAAGCTACTTTACCAAATAGGCAACCAGAAAAATCTGGTCAACCTCACTTTTCAAAGAACAGTCACTAATAGAACTAATAGTCAAATTAGACCAGATCATACAAAGCCTCGTGGCTCCACAGAACCCTAAGGATTTCCAAGGCAAACCTAGAAGAAAACAGCAAGCTTTCATACTTGGTTTTCAGATAAAGTGGTCAGAGAAGGGGAAGAATTTGAAGATGGCAATGGATGCATCTGCCAATCAAGATTTAAACAACTGAATGACTAAGCACAGGGCAAGAGATATTCTGTCTCCCTGCCTGAAGATAACACAGAACTAGGCAACATCCTGTATGGTGTTTCTTGATACATATCTGGTTAGCATTAGCCTGCAAGTGTATCCCCTCTATTGAGTACCATAATTGAATTCAAGTTTAAAAAGGCACATGTACCAACCCAGCATAAAAATAGCATGCTCTACACCACTAAGAATCTTTATGAGAAGCCCAGAGTGCAAGGTTTACCTACTGAAACTTCTGAACCAGTTATCAAATGATTAAAACTTCCTGTGAAATGCAGGTACACAAGGTAAAAAGCAGAACGCTCTTGGTAAGAATCAATATCTTGAACCTGAGATAGAAGGAAAATGCTTCTACTAACGCAGATTTAATCCTTTTCTTTTTCATTTTGGTACAATAAGTAGCCCCTATGGATTTACCCTTCATTAGGATAAACAGAGGCCAGCACCCAGAAGAACCCATTTCTTGCCAAGCAAGCCTCAAAAGGGGCTTTAGAAGCTCTCTGGATTACAGATGAAATAAACTTACATTGAATCTGAAATACAATTTACTGAAACTAAGCAAAGAACTGCAAAAAACATGAAAGACATTTACAACTTCATTTTCAAAAATCTGTG